ACCAGCTCTTGTCCCTTTTAAAAATGTATTATTTGTTGTCAAATTAATTCTGTTTAATGAGTGATCCATTAAATGGAATTTCATCAATATCTCTGTTTTTCAAACTGATTCATCATGATATGTTTTGGGGTTTTTTTTAGATCACAGTGGGTCTGCAAAAGCACAAAAACATCACATAGCATCAAGTTGTTTTAAGTAAACAATCTGATTATTTATGATTCAAACAACTAGAAATACTAAAAATGATTTTGTCTGCGTCGGTTCTCAGTCCAGGTCGTGGTAGTCTAAGCAGCTTGGAAGAAAGCGACTGGACGTCTTTCAGTTTCTTAAAGTGCACAGTGTTCAAGAAAGTCCAGTGGCTTTTTTTCCGAGCGCCTTAGACTAGAAATTATTCAAATTTTCCACCCATTTAGTCTATTAATGCACTAGGAACATGAGTGCATTTTATTAATAAACTGGGCAAATTGACCACTTCATTTTAGGTTTCACGCTTTGCAAAGCTAGTCATGAATCAAGCATATTAAATACTGCCTGTCCATTATCTCTCCTCCTTTTAGAAAATCCTTGTAATGCCAAACATGGATGACGTGTGGCTGCTGATCATGCATTCTGCCATGGACCCACGCACAGCTGGTGGCCCTTTAGTTGGCCCCCCAGTGGACCCAGAGCCTTCCCAGCCAGAGAGGGAGAGCACCAGCCAGCCATGATGATTGTTTACAGTATTTCCTAACTATTACAGGGTCTTAGAATGGAAACCGGAGCCAAAGTCGATAGGTCTGACGCTACTGTAACACGAACACATTCCCATAGAAAAGACTATGAATTCTACAAGAACAAGGTAGAGTCGACCAAATAAACACTAATGACAAACAAACTGTTGCTTGCTGCTCCCTTAAGTGGTATTTATCAGAGGATAGATTGATTTGTCTTTTAGAGTTTAAGGATGGACATATGAAGGGAGTCACGTTTGGCTCAAAACCGGGAGGGGGTTAAGCTAATAAGAGGAGAACATATAAGTATATAATGTGCTATGAACATGTCAATGTGAAAGCATTCACCACATACCTTACAGCCTGCACGTGACGAGACAGTGAGACTGCGCATGGTAGGCCTTTTTAGTTTAGAGACTGAGCAAGTGGAGCTCACAGCGTGATGTATGTAGATTTTTCTAGAGAAACAGGCGAAATAAATCAGATACTTGATGTTTATTTACCGGAAAAGATTAAACCTTTAAGTGGCTTTGTGTCAACGACTTTTAATCAGGTGTTAACTTGCAGTATTGATTTGTGCTGTGACCAGATCTTGAACACCCCGTTCACTTGCCAAACCCTGTTCTTTTTTTCTTTTTCCTTTTTTTTATTAATGCCACTGATGCCGTTATCCGTGTTAACATGGAAGAAATGCTCAAGAGCAAACACGCGTCATGTAGGAACTGTCGTTCACAGCGTAAATTTAATGCTTATGACAAGTACGCAACAAATAAGTGCAATGTTAGAAATGCTACATAGAATTTAAAATGATAGAGACTATAAGTGTATGTCTGAGAAGTAAGAGCCCTGTAACACGTCTGCTGAATGTACGTTCGGGTGTTTGTGGCTTCAGTTGTTTTTGAATGGAAACGTCTTTTCTCCCGGCAAAAATTTGACTGGGATATGCAAATTATTGCACAAATACTAATGAAGGTTTTCTTATCATAAACACTAGCTCACCTTGCATATCATTTTAGACATGTCCTATTCGATAATCGAGCTTACGGAGAGCCGAGTGGCTTATTTATCGATGCACTTAACAGTTTTAATTAAGATATGTGACAGTGCTTTAAAACGACTTTAACCTCCACACTGTATGTAGAAGGACACTTCAGTGAAGCTAAGGTACAGACTGGGTCATAAACCTATTGCCAAGAATGTGCACCCTTCTGGGGAAAAAAGAAAACAAAGCTCTTTTTAACTGTGTTTCTAATCTTAACCAAAGTCCTTTAATTAGGCCCAGAGTTGGACTGCTCTTTCTGCTCACAGGTACACATCTTGTATTGACAAAGCATTGTGAAGTGACATTTACAGATGTACTACAGTACATGCGTTAATGTTGAAGGGTTTTTTTCCTTGTATTTTGGAAGTCTAAGTGGGTTATGGTTTCAGGTTTTGTGTCAATGTTTTTGGTATAAAGAGAATTAAAAGAGAATTTTTTTTGATGATATATGTAAAGCTCATGAAGTTATTTGTATCTGTGAATTATTCATGACTTTTTAAAATTTACATTTTAATTTTAAAGCCAAATCCAGTGATTATGTGTATCTGCCTTATTTATAGAGCAAAATAAATCTTGTCAAAGCTTTTTATTGTTGTTTTTTGCTTTGGATTCTCACAATTTGGGTTGCAAATGCTTAGTTTATCTTCTCTAGCAGTGGGTCTTGTTTTCATAATAGAATAATAATAATAATTTGATGTTGGGCTCATTTCATCACATAAATCACATTGATTTTTATTCAAACTTATAGTTGGAGCTGTAACAATCGACCATCTCTTTATTGTACCTAAAGGTATTATAGGTAAAGAATTCAAGAGCTTCATTGTTTTCTTGCACGTCTGGAAGTTTTAGTTGTGATGTAACTTTTTCCAGTCCTTACATACTGTTTTATAACTGTTGCCATCAAGAGACGGATATGTTTCAATGCACATATTAAACAAATATGTAGGACTGTTTTCTTCCATTTGAACAGTATCACTAAATTTAGAAATATTCTGTCTTAGAGTGACGCTGAAAAACTAGTTCATGCATTTATTACTTCTAGGCTGAACTACTGTAATTCGTTATGATCATAACTGACAAGAAGTGGAATTGATTCACTGAACACTTCTTCCCTATTCCTTTCTTTTCTCCTTCTGGCAATTTTATTTATACGAGACATTTTATACATGAGACTGAATGTGCTTAACACGGAAACTGAAGACATTAAAGACAGAACAAAGCAAAACAACAACACTTATTGACACTAGACCTGTGTGAACAAAAAGGTTTTGAGTCTGTTTTTGATCTCAAGTCAGCAGGCTGCTTGTTCCAGAAAACTGAAAGCACCCTCAACAGACTGAGATTTGATTCTGAGAACAGTTAAAAGACCCAGTCTGGGTTTTTGACAGTCAGCAAGTCAGAGACATACTGGGTGGCCAAACCATTGAGAGCTTTGTGAACTAATAAAAGAATGTGTATATATAGCACTGGGAGACAGTGAAGTAACTTCAAAACTAAGTTAATGAGGTCAAATTTCCATCTACCTGTACGGATTCTGCCTGCTGTATTTTGAATAAGCCAGAGATGTTGTGCTGATGATTTGGTCCTTCAAATAGAGTGCTGCAATAATATAACCAACTTAAACCTATGAATGAGATGAATGCGTCTCATAGTCAGTTTGAGACAGGAATTTTATAGTCCTAGATATAATCTTTAAGTGATAGAAAGCAGTATTTAAACCGTATTTATGTGGTTATCAAAACAAAGATCACTGCCCAAAATGAGGCCACAAATTGCATCTAAATATTTGTCTACTCTCTTACAGGCTCCTCCGGCCCCCCACAGTTGTTGCGCCCGTAGCTGGAGATAAAATGTTACCACAGCATTAAGAAATTAGCTTTGAACATGTCAGTAACTCCTAGAAATGACTTTTATTCTGTAAGCGGTCGTAAATAAGCGCGTACATCCTACGTGC